TTGAGAGTAAAAATGGTTCATTGGCCGGGGCTGGATAACCACTGGTCCAAGGCTGTAGTGAGGCAGGATGCTATTAGTTCCCAACCCCGGGCACGTTTCTATCACGTTTAGTGCGCCTCGCCAACTTGATGATAGAATCATCCTCCTCTGCCACAAGCTTCAACCTGTCGGATTGGGGTATCTCAGCCGACTCCCTGAGAGCATTCACAACATATGCCGAGATGAAAAAAGGGGGACTCGTATATGCCACAGGGAACCCGTTGGCCTCTACACCACTGGTACGATGGAGGTACATCAAATTTTGAAGTACTATATCTCTAAGATGATCCATTTATACCACACGAGGTGCTTCAAATGCTGCCGAACAGTACATGCAAATTATTTGAGTGGCGCAGCAAAGATCAAGTCTGAGAGATCTAGTTGGCTTAGGTTGGTCTCTGAATAGATATCTATTTCCATGTAGATTAGTACTGGCATTGATGATAGCCTCCAAATACAATGTTTACAAATTATTCGTTGAGAAACCTGTTCCCACAGTACTTGTTGTCCTGGCTGATCTTGAGTTACCATACCCTGAGCTTTATCTGAGCCACTTTGAGCATATTGAGAAGTGAACATCAAGTTTAGCTTATTTCCCCCGCGTTACTAGAGGATTCCAAGATCAGTATGTCATTACCCCAATTGCACAAAAGCCACATGAGCCACGTGGTGACTTTTTTACGTTGCACAGTGGTGGCTCCACAATAACGCGATTATAAGTATAGATTTTTTCAACTATAATTATATTCACATCCTAGGCCGCTACAGACCGATTCACAAGCCAAACAAGTGATGCTCGAGCAGTAATGATTCCATGGAACAAGCAAGAAAGATCTTGGAGGTTATGCAGTATGGACCAAAGGTGGAGCAAAGCTATGTGGCTCGTGCGGCTTTTGCGCAATTCCATTGGAGATTTTAATTACATGCATGACTCGACAAAAACTCTGTTGTGAAGTATACATGGATTGTATGTGACTTTGGAAGCAACCAAAATATGTATTGAACTGTAGTTAATACACCATGTTGAACAGAATTGGCCAGACCGGAAGTATACTGTCTAGTCAAAATCAAAAGCTGAACCTGGCCCATATGTGTACTTGAGACGGATCCTTTGTTGAACGGTACAGGCTCAGATTGACAGGGAGCAAGGAAGGCAGGACAATGTTGTAGTTAAAGACAAGAATGCTTAATGACATGGTACGATGATAGACACCGACACCAAATAGTCCGTAAAGACTTTCTAGTGACGATGAGAGCGAGGGAATTGAGCAGTTTCCCACTTCAATCAACCAAGAAGAAGAAATAGATGAGTTTGTGGTTCTCAACTATTGAAGATGACTGTTTAGACGGGGACTGGTCAAGTCCAAGGCTTATCTGAAGCCTTTTTAGAAATGTGCGATGGGGAAATTAAATTGTCCTCTCTACATAAAAGTATCTAGCTTAAATACACAGACTTTTGTAACCTTGCAATCTACAGTTATCATCCCAACATCTGACAACCACCATATTTCCCAGATTCATGGGTTTATAGTTTCCTTCTAAGTTCAAACTCCCAAGTCCATCAATGCTTCTGTGATCTCATGACCGTTGAGATATTGAGAGCATCTGCTGTGGTCAGGAGAAATGTCATATTGGCCAATCTGTTTCTCCCACTACTTGGATGATCTAACTTGAAGTGGGTCTTTCTTTCCACAATCAAGCCAATAACCATGCTGAATCTATTACTCTGCTGTTGACTTGGTTTGTTTGCCGTTTCATGGGCTCACAGGATTGTCATGGTATCCGACAAGCTCTTTGCCTGGTGATTTGACAGGTACTGGAAATGGATAAGGTATGACTCACTTGATAGTGTATGAGATGGGTTATGCTGTTGTGGCTGTTCCTGCTATGTCGTTTGTCTCTGGTTGATTCAGATGATTGGAATATTTGAGTCTGATGAGCTCATCAAGCTCATCAACGAAACTCCGATCTAATATACCGTCGCTATCGACCCCTATGTCACATTCTCGGGAATGACCCATGTCGTCCAACACACTCTCTCATTCTCGAGAATGTGCGAATGGATCTACCCTCCTCAGATCATAAGATGCATGCCTTTTGGGCCAGCTATGCTGTGAGAGAATCCTTCTCAGCCTTGCCATGGCGTCAAATTTCTAATCTCAATGTGCTCTCTCTCTGCTCCATACAATTAATTCACATGCGATGAAAATGATGCAGCAGCAGTCAGGGAAGGAAATGGTTTTGCTGAAAGTTCATTCGTCTCATGGGGTTTGCTGGTTTGTTTCGTTCTACTGGGTAAGCTCAAAGCCCAGCGGCCGTTCGTTTCATTTCATTCATTCATTCGTGGAAAATAGAAAAACCATGTCATGCAAGCTATGAAAAACGTGCAGCAGGATGCAAGGTCTGGTGTCATTCTGATGGTTATATCGCAGCAAAAACGAACAGGGGCTTCAAATCAATGAGCCAGAGGATGAATCAGAGTAAAGCAGAAGTTGTTGCGCAGATCAGGGAGGAGTCGGGGCCTCATAACCTGTTGAACGGTACGAGCTCAGATTGACAGGGAGCAAGGAAGGCAGGACAATGTCATAGTTAAGGACAAGAATGCTTAATCACATGGTATGAAACTCCGATCCAATATACCGTTGCTATTGACCCCTATGTCACATTCTCGGGAATGAAACATCCTTGGTGTTTCTCAGATCAAAAATATGAAATCACTTCAATCATCTCAAATTGGCCACGGAACATTATCGTAGACGGTCAGCAGTCACTAGACCTGCTCATTGTGCCTCCAGAGGTCGAAAATATGTCGCCAGAAGATCTAAGATATAGCGGATCAGCGTCGCCTAGCCGAGATCCATCAGTCTTTTTATTCTGCCAGGTCACTCATCTTCCAATCTTGATATCTCTGAGCTCAGAACATGAGAGGGGCATGTACATCGGTAGAAGTGAAGTACACAGGGAGAAGCGGGAAGAGTATCCGACATTGTAAAAAGAAAAAGATATAAATGAAACCAAAGCGGCCCGATCAACAAGAATACCTCAAGCGTCGAAATAATGATGGGGAAGAGTCGTCTAGCCTATAATGACCTCTAGAGAACCGTCAATACCATGGTCCCGAATTCTGCTAAATTGAAGGAATGGGTGAACCGCGGCGCGTTGGTCGGGGTGCGCGCTGCGAGGCTGAAGCGTCCGAGTCGACGGGCGACGAGCACGGTAACACCATCCACCGCCTGCCGCTCAGCTGAAACGATGATGATGTAGCGGTAGCGCATCTAATTAACAACACTGCTGCAAGGATGGCCCTGGTTCTAATCCAAGTCATCGCCTGTTGTCTTGATCATATTTTTTTTTTGTTCCGTCAATGCGCTCGAATATTGTTGACACACCTAAAAATCATCTCTTACAACCATCCGTATACATAACTGCGAAGACACACGAGAACGTAAGGGACGTGATCAGGTTTCACGAGGAGGAAGCTTTACAGGATTATATTCTTGTTTCTATTTTCCAAGTGATGATGGTGAAATGATAAGCGGTGGAGTAGTAACAACACGTCCGCCTGTTCAACTTTACGGATGGCTCTGGTTCGATTCCGGGTCATCGCCTAGGTGGGAGATTCTCTTCTTTTTTGAAGTTATCATGTCAGCTCGCTCATCTTCCATTGCTCATATCTGAAGCTCCGAACATTACTGAGGAAGGTTATATCGTAGGTACATAGGCAGAAGTGAGGTACATACATAGAAGTAGGGTACATAGTAAAAGTGGAAAAACATCCAACATCATAAAAGAAAAAGAGATGGAGAAAAGCAACCCAATCGACAACAATCCTTCATTGCCCAGGACGTCGTTTCCGTGACCGTATTGACGTGCATCACCTGAATCTGATATGGATCATCTGAAGGTAAATTGAGCTCCCAAGCAATATACGGACGGTCTAGGGTGAGTATATGGATGGTCCAGAGTGACGTTTGAACGTTTCGCAAATTTGGCGCGGTTGCGAAATACTGTATGCAATCCTCAGACAATAGCCTGGCAAAAGTCCAGTCGTCACATATCGCTGAAAATGTTTCCAGCTTCTCGAGGCTGGTCTGTTGAATTCGCAGGTGATTTCTCGCCACAGTTCAGCAGGCATGTCAAGGGTGAGCTTCACCCATCGAGAAGATGCTGTGGCCAAAATATCGACAAGTCCAGATTCCTCTTCCCACTCGTAGAATGGACGGCGAGGGTGAAAGTGAATGCTGAGTGGCAAGTGTTTGGAAAAGGAAACGAGACGGTTTAGGATATGCGCTCGGTGTGATCTAAGTCTATGTTGGACCAGAATTCGGGGTGCTTTTGAGAATCGAAGCCCATCGAGTACAGGTCCCATAAAAGGTGATCCTCGAGCATCACAGGCTCGAGCGAACCATCGCCCTAGTTTGGAGCGTGGCATCGCCGGAGAACAGTTCGAAGCGAGAACCTGGTAGAAGATCTCGAGAATGAGCTCGTTGGTTTCGTTTTTGTAAGTAAGTATACTATTCCCTTCGCCTTTGCGATTCTATTCCTCCGGGGAGCCTAGTCATAGTTCGCATTGGTACAGCTTTAGGTCTCCCGCCGGGTTCAAGTTCCGCGAAAATGAAGGAATGGGACATTACAAGTCGCTGGCAACAAATAAGCCAAGCAGTGTGGATTTCGGCTGGATTAGAACTCACGATTGGTTAGCTTGAAGATGAAGTGTCCGAATCGATGATCGACGAGCGTCTTCAAGGTGCTACCGCCGATCGAGGTCAACCATGGTCCACCGCCTTTTTTCCGGACAAAGCAAGTCAGCAAAGCTTTGCCGAGCAAAGAAAACTGATCACCGTAAGGAGACGGGTGAGAGAAAGATCGGACGAGGATGGTACAGCATGCGTTGCCAGCGCGGTGGTGAATCAGCCATCAGCCGCTGTGGTGTAAGGTCATCCTTTGTTTCTGGTTTGGAAGCGATGCTAGTGTAATGGTAGCACATCCGACTGCGCAATACGGATGGCTCTGGTTCGATTCCAGGTTGTCGCCTAGATTGTTGCAGTTGATCTTTTTATTAAGTTGCCAGTTCCCTCTACGACATGATCATCTGCAATTATTCAGAACATCAACTACAATCCCTTATTAGAGCGCCAACAACAGTTACAATACAAACATTCCCTTGTCAAAATCTGCATTTCCCTCAAAGTCATAAAGCCCACAGAAAGAAAAGGCCTCAAAGTCCATTGGTCCACAAAAAGGCTCGAAAAGGCTCGTGACCGTCAGAAACATAACCTGCTTGGTCTGGCGGCGATATTCAAGGTTAAGTGTATCGTGGTGAGGCTATAGCTGATGGCATCAGTGAGCTAGCTCCTGCAAAGCGTCTATCGGGACGGCGAGATATGGCAATGCACTTTAACATCTCGGAGCGCGGCAAGATGATATAGTCGACGAAATAGAGTCCTTCGGGGTCCAAAGGGAGCTGAAGTACGATGCTTTGTTTCCGGTTTGGAAGCGATGATGGTGTAATAGTAGCACATTCAATTATTACAATGCTGCACGGATAGCCCTGGTTCCAATCCAGGTCATCGCCTAATATCCCTTTCGTGTTTTTTTTTCCTTTGTTCTGTCAATGCGCTCGAATATTGTTGACATGCCTAAAAATCATCTCTTACAACCATCCATATATATATCTGCGAAGCCACATGAGAACGTAAGGAACATCATCAGGTTTCAAGAAGGTATATAGGAGGAAGCTCGAGCTACAGTACATAATTGTGAGGCATCTTTGATAAGCGACGATGGTGTAATGGTAGCACATCCGACTGAACAATGCGGATGGCTCCGGTTCGATTCTAGGTCGTCGCCTTGGCTGAAACGATGGCCAGTGGTTTTTTTATTCCGCAAGGTCACTCATCTTCCAATCTTGATATCTCTGAGCTCAGAACATGAGAGGGGTAGAAGGTGAGGTACACAGGGAGAAGTGGGAAGCGTATCTGACATTGTACGGGAAGAGTACTATCTGACATTGTAAAAAGAAAAAGAGATGAATAAAACCAACGCAGCCCGATCAACAACGATCCCTCAAGCGTCGATGAAGAGTTGTCTAGCCTATAACTCTAGAGACCCGTCAATACCACCACAATCCCGGATTCTGCTAAATTGAAGGTCATGAAACTCCTCCCACACCCGGGGGTTCGCGGAGCTGAGGATGAAGTGTGCGCCTTGGCCAGGGCGCGCGCTGCGAGGCTGAAGCGTCCGAGTCGACGGACGACGAGCGCGGTATCGCCGTCCACCGCCTGCCGGTCGTCACCAATGCCTCGACAACGACCTGTCGCTCGAACTGGACAACTTGAACAACCGAACTGTACAATTTCAGCGGCTGAACTCGACGGTTTTGGAAGGACATACCGAGAAAGAGCTCTAGGTGTAGGCTCGTAACCAGCCTCTCTGACGCAGCAAGAGGCAAACCTCTCGTCAGAGAGGCTGGGATCACGGCGAATGCCGTGGGTGATGGAGCTTGGCATGATAGCAATGAGTCATGGCTAGGAGATGGGAAAAATGCTATGACATGAATTGTATTATATCATATGACAGGGATTGGCCACGTCATCGCCTTCTGGTTCCTGCTCTCATTTCGTGGTCGGTTTTCAGCACTCAGAGACGCAATAGCCATGGCATTGCCTCATTGCAGTCGGGACGGTGATAGCTGCCATGGTGGCTGGGAACGAATCGAAGCGATGACGTGGGTCATGTCTGTCATGATATAATATTGTCTGTGTCATTGCATTTTCCCATCGGCCAGACATGACACATCGTCATCACGCCAAGCTCCATCACCCACGGCATTCGCCGTGACACCGGACTCTCTATCGAGAGGCTTGCCCCTCATAGAGAGTCGGTCACCGGACTACTCTAGGTGCTTTCCATTGATATCCAGCAAAAGACGTTGTCGATTGGATACGGTGGTCGACATCAGGAAATTCCTACCGTGATAATTAAGCTATAATTCCTGATAAATATCTGGAAGAATCAGAATAGCAGATATGGAAAGCCGGAGAGTCCTGCCTCGCTAAACAGCTAGCCGAGTACGTGTTTCCGCTTTTGGACGTGTGAGACCCTGAGGACCGCCTCGCCATCAGATTGTGTAATATAGTAAATAATACAGTGAAGTAATATGATTTTGTCACCAGCCAAAAGGGTCTGGACCCGTGAGATCAAAGAATTCTAGCTCACGCTCGTAAGTCCCTTTCGGCACTGAGTCCTCATCATCGGAGAACTGTGCGGCAACATTCGGACCATCCTGTATGTCATCAGAGACCCCCAATCCACCGTTCACTCCACCTTGATAGTAGTGACCCATGGCTTGTGGTAACTCCTGATCTGGCCCAGAACACAATCAGCCAAATTATATCAGGACTGTGACGCCAGCATACCCCAATGAATAGCTTCCCAATCGCATCATTCCCAAAGACGTTGATAGGCATTATGTTGCGAACCAGGATTCTCGTGGTGTTTTGGATGGTACTGGAAGGGTGGTCTGTTCCCAGTGCTACCGGGATATTTTGTGGAAGCCAACAATGGTCATTCGAGGGAGTTGGTGCTTTGTCATGTATCTCCTTGGCAATTGATTATCTGCTACAGCTCCTTTACCGCCACCAACATTCAGTACAGTCAGGGGGTCTGTTAATGCAGCTTGGCCAAAAGGCGAGTCTGTCTGGATTTAGGCACGGACTCTTATCTGAATATTCGTTTTTCAGGTGCTACAAATGATGATCGTCGAGTGACACCGGTTGGTTCAGTCAGCGCGAGTGAGTAGCATATTTCTCACCCAGTTTCATTATTTTGAATGCACTGATAGTGACGGGAGCAAATGTATACGCGCCGAATGCACAGTTAACCGGCCTTATGGGACCATCATCTGTTGCTCTCGGATCTCGTGTCTCCTATTATGCCTTAGGAAGCACCATGAGTCACCCGATGATCGGACAAGTTTCCAAACTTTGATTGGACTACTGTTGACTGGAAGAAGGATGTCAGCCTCCGAAACCTTGAGAAATGGGACGATTTGGGCTTCTACAGTCCTGATATCCAGTACTAGCTCTTTCAAGTCGGTTGGGTGTTCAGTCCAAGTCTCGTTGAAGAGTTAAACAACTCTGAAACGGAAAGAGAGGTGCGTGTGAGTGGTCAGCATTTCATTTCATTTCATCTCTGAACAACCCTAGGCATATCGTAGGCCATCTACGCAACCATCAATGATGCTTCCAGAGGTGGCTATCAAGAAGCGAAGCCGCGCTCTGTCAAACATTGAGGCTGGTCCTAGCAGTGAGATTGTGGTACGAACAAATGTTCCCTGTTTCTTTCTTACTGAAATCGACTTTCAGGATCTCACCCAAAGTTCTGAGACTGTACCCGCGACACCAAGACTTACAAAACGGAGTGCTACTGGTGGTGTATGGAAGTCTCCAGATCATCGAGCACTCCGTTGACAAGCTGCTCTCTTGTCATCTTGTGCGTTGCATTTGGGAGCGCTCCACTGCAGACATGATCAGCTTGGAGTTGAAATGGAAAGATTGAAACCTATGAAGCAGTAACATAAAGTATGCATGATTCCATGATAGACCTTTGCTTTCTTCTCCTGAAGTGTCTCAAGAAGTGCCATGAAGGCCTGGAACTGGGCACCGAGAAGAGCATCTGCAAATGGAGCTTTTGCGACATTCTGGAGGTGTTGATCAATTTTAGGTTGAAAAATGTGAATAAAAGTTACACCTACTGCAGTACAAGCACAGGCAATGAGCGTAGCCGGTACCTCAGGCTCATTAGGTGCTGCAGATTGAAAAAACTCTGGCTGACCCTGTACCACCTTTGAATTAGCAGTACAGTCGACTTTCTCATATGGAATGTAGTTGGTTCCAGCAAATTCATATTCCATATGAGATTTATTCCATAGAAGTTATGTCACATTCTTGTGACTCTGTGTGACAGCTTCCAATAAGATGTAAACCAAAGTGAACTTGAGCTTTTCTAGAGCTTTTAGGTGTTGAATATTCTGCAAATGCTAGGACAAGCCAGTCTGTCAATCCCATACAAATCTTTGAAGTCAAAGTGGATTAAAAACAGTCATTTGATGTGAGAAATGATATGGAGAATGAAAATGCCTACATCTGATATGGAATAAATGGCTGGCGGAGCCCTCAAAAAGTGTATTCCATATTCCATATTCCATAACAGAAAAATTAAGCTGGGACAAGCTTGGTTCTTGGAAAAAGTCATTCCATATGAGATTTATTCCATAGCACTGTATTCCATATGAGCAAGTTGACTGTACCACCGAAAAAGGCAGCCTTGACGACCTCAACAATCACGGTGGACTGAAACATCCAGTGTTGCGGCTTAAGGTTTAAGGCTTAAATAAATTAAGGCTTATTAAGGGTTACAGATTAACCCTTAAAGCTGACCGCGAGCTACATTAAGGCTTTATTAAGGCTTAAGGTCCACGTGAAGGCGGGATACGGGCGTCGGTCCCGCAATGCGCCCGCGGACTCGGTGTCTATGACTGTCATATAATCATTCTCGGTTGTTCTGGCAGCAATTATTGATGGAACATTGAAAAGATCCATTTGATGTGCTCTAAAGGCTGAGAAATGTTTGAGCGACTCAAGGAAACTTGAAGGAAAATAATATATTCAGCCCTTAAACTTACCCTTAATTGAATTAAGTTTAAGGCCCTTAATTAAGGGTTAAGGCCTTAGGCCAAAAGTCAGCCCTTAATAAGGGCTTAAGCCGCAACACTGGAAACATCCGGGCAGTGTCAAAGGCCAGCGTATGTCCAGGCTAGCATGTCATTAACTTGAATTATAAACCCAGACTGAAATTTTTGAGAGCTCACAATAACAGTCATCCAACAGTCATTGGATATATCATAAGGTTATCCTTGATTAACGCTGTAAGAATGTCGGTGTCACTTGGTCTGATGCCTAAAGCACTGTAGATTACAGGGAGAGCATCTGTTTTGATGGTGGTACGAGTAATTGCGCCATGATGAGCCACCTATAATCATTGATCAGTTATGGAGCATCAACGATATCACAACATACCAGCTTGCTGACAGGGGTTTGATATGTTGCTATTGGAGTTGGATTACTACTCAAGCCCCATTCGTACTCATCTTTGATTATCAGTTGCCATCACGTACAGCCTTAGGTTATTTCTCTTATATACCAGGCCTTCGTGTACTTGTTCTTCATTCGTTTGACCGCCCACGAGCTCTCGGGTCCAAACACAATTCATTGTTTTTCTTCATCTCTCTTGGAGTCCTGAATCTATGACAATAGTTGCATTATCACCTTGACCATTAAACCCAAGCTTCTCTGCAGCATCAATACAGGCTTTGAGTGGTGTGACATTGTACCCAATATGGACTGTGACATTTTCGTTCGCCGACGCCCAAGGATATACCAGACCACAATGATATGCTATCATAGTAAATAATTGTTTTATTGTCTGACATTCATGAAAGGCAGCTCTACTATCTGACATTTGGGGACTGACCAGGGTGAGACTCAATGGAGCCAGAAGCTGAGTCAATGGGAAATCAACTTTACAGCTGCTAAAGGTGTTAGGAAACAGGATATTCAAGACATTTTGACCTTGCTGGTGGATACCTCTCCAGTTGCGACATATGTCAGCCCCAGGTGCAAAGTCATTTCAACACTGGTGGCTCGGGACAGCTCTGAAAGCGTCACTAACAGGCGCTACTTCTTCACTGATACCTGCTGTCCAACTTTCTTTATACCTGGTAAAATCTTCCTATGTGCTCAATAATTGCTCGGAATTTATGAGAATTATGAGAATTTCCGGATTATCAA